ATGATGAGCAGCAGCATGTGATGATGATGATAGGGTATCTACCTCTCCTCCCCATTCTTTCAGGTGTATTACTACTCTTATCCTTCTTCCCAACACTCCACTACCCAACCTCTCTGTTTCTCTTCTTCTTACTACTGGATTCACTAACACCTACTACTACTACTACTACCCACTAATACTATTACCATTACCTTCCTAACATTGGGACCTTGTGTAACAGCTGCAGTAGCTGCTCTAGTAACTTGTATATCAGCATTATCTTGCGATACTAGTATACACTGTTGAGCTTGTTGTGGGGTATGAAATGTAGCTACTACTACTGCATTACTCAATTCTGTTACGCACTGTACACCTTCAAACATTGATACGTATTCGAACCTAGAATAATAATAATAATAATGGGATAGTAGTGGTAGTAGTAGTATTACAAAGCATCGAGTATGTTCTCTGGAGTAAGCTCATTATGATGCTCATTATCGTCTATTGTATGTATTGTGTCATGGTCATCATCATCATCATCCCATCGACTCCTCCTCCTTTTATCCAATATTACCATAACTCTGCCATAATATTCAATAATGATGATGATTGTGACACTACGTATCATGTATCAGTATTACTACCTCCCCTTCTTCCCAGACTCAACAATCTGGTGTTGTTCTCCTCCTCGACCTCCTCCTCCTCCTCCTCTTCCTACTACTCTAGTAGTAGGATTGGAAGCAGCAACATGATGTTGTCTCCATCTACATAGCATGATATCCCCTCCTCCTACTCCTATTTCATCTACATTGTAGTATTACTTAAAGTGTACTTGTCTAGATGCAATCTCCTTAGCTTCAACTGACTTCAACATAGTCTTCTTCCATTCTGCTTTCTTCTCCTTCTCTAGTTCATATCGTGCCTATATCATCATGACCATCATCATGATTGTTATTATTACCAATATCCTCTTCTCCCTTTCCTTTTGTTCAGCTCTCATCTTCTCTTTATGTACCCTATCCTTTTCCTAAGCATCAACAGCATCAGCATCATCAGATACATTGTACCCTATATGTAGTAGCATAATGAGTATTACCTCCATATGTATGATCCTAGCCTCCCAACCTATAGGGTATTTCCCTATTAACCCTCTACCACTACTAAGACCACCATCAACATCGATACCACCCATTACTACAATCATCATCATCATGACTATTATTACTACTATTCATGAGTATTACCTAACTTTTTATCCTTCTCTTCAAGACCTATTGCTACTGAAAGAGTCTCTGCTGCCATACCCAGATTATGATAGGCTTTATCTAGCTCATTGTCACTCATCATCACCGTACTACTACTGTTACTCATAGTAGGGGTTATAACATCATCATCATCATTATCATGGAGACCTATAGTATTGATATCATATTGTTATATCTACACTGCTACAACTCGTATATACTAATACTACCATTAGTTGTAATACTCTCATCCTTCTTCTTCTTGTTGTCCTCATCATGAGCATCATGAGCATCATAGACACATGAGATATATAATGATTATTA